TTCAGCCTGATACTTTGAGGTTAAGTTCTCTGTAGTCTGAACAACAAAGTATTTTGACACTGATTTGATATAAAACACATCGCTGGTGGGATTCCCCGGAGCTGTGTATTTGTCATGTGGGACTTGCATGGACCAGACCTGTTGCTGTTTGCTGTGGGCAGGGTCCCTGCCAGTGCCTGACATGGAGGAACTTGGTTCATTCCTTCAAACAACATCTCTTTGAAAAGCACGTGATCTATCCTTGCAGGTAAAAATGTCTTTTGGGAGTTGTTTCCATCATAATTGGCTTCTAGAACCAGTTATCCTATAAATCCTGGTTTTAAAGGTCATCATAACTTTTCTGCCTTTTCTTTACATACAGTTGTATTTAAGCCTTGAGTTTTTCTCAGTTTTTAGTCATTTTTGTAGCTTTAACCTTCCACCTGCCTGTTTTACTTCAAGGTATGCTTAAAATGACCCAGCTATAATGACTTTACCAGGATGTCCCTCCTGTAAGTAGCAGTCTGCAGCAGTAAGACACCCAGAGACCAGATTTTAATCAGCCTTGACTGAGGACTAAAAATGATTCACTCCTGTCAGTGCTGCGCAACACAACAAACAGCTCTCCAGCAAATCACTTAAGCAGAAATATGTTGGCATGTTTCTATAGCAACTAAGGAAAAATATTTCACACAAAAGTCCATCTGCTGCAACAGAGAGGGAGATCTGGCCAAGGTTCCCGCTAGAAATTAATCTTAATTTGCAAATTTTATTTTTGAAAACCTCACACAGTCACTTGCACAAAAAGGCAGAACTGTGAGTCAGAGGAAAAAGAAATGATTTTTCAAGAGAGGCTGTCAATTAATCAACAAGGTGATCTTTAATTTGGGAAGCAGTGATTGTCTGAGGATGAAAAAGCCCAGTGCATTTGAGAGGTATTCATCCCCGGGGCTGTTTACCAATCGGGCTGCATCACACCATCTTGTACGCAGTGTATTTGGAAACACATTTATTTTTTCAAAAGAGCTTAGTAGCAAGCATCCAACATTTTTTTTTAAATCATTTTGGTTTGATTTACTTGTAAAGAGTTACTCAAATTTATTCAACCATATAAAATGCTTTGTAGAAGTCATCAAAGTGAGGAGAGGGGGAAAAACCAATGCGATAATTTGGACAGCGATGCATTTTATTTTATGTGATGTCAACACTTCAAAGCCTATTGGGGCTGTGTTCAGGAGATCTGAAACATTTTACGGGGTGCTTGGTGTCTGTGCTACAAACCGACTCCAACTACAAACCGACTCTTGCACAATGTTCACATGCTGCTGCCAGTATTTCTCTCTTCCTCTCTAGCTGCTTTCTCTGTCTCCTCTGGAAGCTCAACAGAACCCCAAAAATAAATTTTAAAAAAGAAATAAAAAAAAAAACCAAGAAGTTTCTTCCAACTAGGCAGCGTGTAACTCAGGGCCCGAGAAGGCCAGTTCTTCAGAGGCTGTACCCAAGAGGAGGGAAGTCCAGCTCGAGTAGGCTCTGTCACCTGGAGCTTTGTATGAAAGACTAGATCTAAAAAGACTTCAGGAAGAGGTGACATTTGTGTGGCTTATGTCATAACTACTAAGCTCCAAAGGAGGCAACGAAGGTGGGGAAGGGCCTTGATTTGAAGCCGTGGGAGGACACTGAAGGCACTTGGTGTGTTCAACTGGAGCAGAGGAGACTGAGGGGAGACCTCAGTGCAGTTCCAGCTGCCTGGGCAGGGGTAGAGGAGGGGCAGGGACTGAGCTCTGCTCTGGGGGGACCAGGGACAGCAGCCAGGGAATGGCTGGAGCTGTGTCAGGGCAGGCTCAGGTTGGGTCTCAGCAAAAGGTTCTTCCCCCAGAGGCTGGTTGGGCACTGCCCAGGCTCCCCAGGGCAGTGGGCACAGCCCCAAGGCTGCCAGAGCTCCAGGAGGGTTTGGCTGATCCTCTGGGGCACAGGGGGTGACTCTTGGGGATGGTCCTGTGCAGGGCCAGGGGTTGGACTGGATGATCCTTGTGAGTCCCTCCCAGCTCAGCACATCCTGTGACTCTGTGATTCTGTGATACCCTACATGAAAGATGGGCCACCCCCGTGTGCCTGCGGCCCACCGGGCTCCGGGACCCGGGCAGGAGAGAGGAGAGAAAGAGGCAGAGCCTCGGTGTGGGTGCTGCACCCCCGTGGAAGAGGAATGGGGAACTTCGGAGCACACAGAGGTTTGACGTTCCAGGTTTGGAGGAGGGGAAGGGTGTCGAGCAGGCCGTGGGGGTCCTCAGACTGGTGTGAGTGCGAGCGTGGCAATCCAGTATGAAATGTTGCAGGTGAGTAGTGCACCTGTAGATATGCGGCAGCACAGTGGGGTAAGGATAAGGTCAGGGTGGATAATGGGTTCATTTAGAATGTTGGGGGTCCCGGCCAGCCTTGAAAGGCACCCCAGCCTTGGATGGGTATGGGGGCCAGAACGGTTTGTCTGTTTGTTTTTGGCTCACCTGCGGCTACTGCCCAGGTTCGACATGTTCTGGGTATATTTGCTTTGCTCTGTTACATCCTGACAGGGTGGTCAGGACAAAGGGTTGCTCCTGGTTATCTCCTGGAGATTGTATATAGACAGGTGATAGCAAAGTAGGAAATGTAAGATATGCCCAAATCATTCTAATAGGAATGAAACCTGTGTACCCCTATGTGGTTGTGAGCTACGCTGGCGATGGCACATGCCTTCGGTAGGGTCACCCATGCCAGACAGGTCAAAACCGTAGGACCAGACACACCACATTCTTGGGCAGGATGAGCTCGTTAGCCTTCTGGCAGTCATCCTAGAAGAAGGACAACTCTGATCCCAAACCCGGGCAGATGGAGCTCGCTTAGCCCTGTAAGGCCATCCATCTAAGAGAAGGTCACTCTAATTAAACTTACGTCCTGAGGACCTCGCTGCCACCGTCCAAGCTCGCTCGGCCCTGGCAGATGAACCTTAGGATTAAAGGGTGGGTTCACTTCCGTGCATACTGCATCTCACCTAAAAAATCCACTGCACAGGCTCAAAGGCTTTACTCACATTTGCAAAGCCCTGTAGCGACAGGCGAGGGTCGAAACAGCAGGTGAAAGGTGCACTGGAAGCCACAGACCCAACCCTGCATGCAGGTGGTTCAGGGCATTGGTCGTTAGAGACTGACCGGACATGACAGTCTCTTTGGACAGCACCCTAAATGACCAAGCAGCCTTTTCAAGGACAGCACTGCTTGCTCCACTCGGAGAGGGGCCTAGAAAAGGTGGCCTAACCAAAGCTCATCTCCCCCTTCACCCGGTTGGTTAACCACGGCCAACGGGCATCTTCTACTAATGCGGTCACACAAAGATAAAAGACAAAGGCACACACCTGCCTCCAAAGGTGTAACCAAACTGACTCTTGCATGCTGGAACATCAGAACCATGCTTGATTCTGCGGATAGCAGACGTCCTGAGTGTCGCTCTGCCCTAATTCCCCATGAACTGCCTCGTCTCAACATCAAAATTGCTGCTGTCAGTGAAGTTCGTCTTCACAAGGAAGGCAGCCTCAGAGAACATGGTGCCGGTTACACACTCTTTTGGTCAGGTAAGCCCAGAACTGAAAGGCATCTCTCAGGAGTCGGCTTCATGATCAAAACCTCTATTGTTCCTAAACTGAAAAATCTGCCGACAGGTCACTCTGACTGCATTATCTCCCTACACCTTCCACTACACAACAAGCAACACATTGTCCTCTTTAGTATATATGCCCCAACTCTCCAAGCTGACCCTGCCAAAAAAGATAAATTTTACACTGACCTGCACTGCCTTACCCAAAAGGTTCCTGCAGATGATAAGATCATTATCCTTGGTGATTTCAACACCAGAGTAGGTAAGAACTTTGAAGCATGGAAAGGAATATTAGGCAAGCATGGTGTTGGAAACTGCAACGATAATGGTCAACTTCTGCTAGAATTTTTTGTAGAGCAACGACTCACCATCACTAATACTATCTTTCAGCAGTAAAATAGCCTGAAGACAACCTGGATGCACCCCAGATCTAAACATTGGCACCTCACTGATTATGTCTTGGTGCGACGGAGAGATGTCCACGATGCCCATCATACTCCCTTGAAGCCCAGTGTAGAATGCCAAACAGACCATCGACTTGTGCGCTGTAAACTCAACTTCAATCTTGAGTTCAAACCTAAAAGGGGTAGTATCCTAAGGAGAAGACTCCAAGTTAACAGTCTCCGATCAGCCACAGTGAGAGACAGATTCCAGGCAAACCTTCAAACTAGGCTCGAAAACCATTCCACAGATTCTGCAGATTCCTCTCCTGAAACACTTTGGCACCATATTAAAAACAGCATCCTGCAATCCTCTGAAGAATCCTTAGGGTTCTCCCTCAAGAAGAACAAGGACTGGTTTGATGAAAACAATCAAGAGATCCAGGAATTGTTGAGGAAGAAGAGAACCGCCCACAAGCAAACCTTGCACTGCCATCCTGTCACACAAGAAAAGCAGGCTTTCGTCTCACATGCAGCAGGCTCCAACAGAAACTCCGTGACATCCAGAACAAGTGGTGGATCGATCTAGCTGAAAAAACTCAATTATGTGCAGATACGGGTGACCACAAAGGATTCTATGAGGCCCTGAAAACAGCATACGGGCCTACATACCAGGTCCAAAGCCCTCTACTCAGCGCTGATGGTCAAATGCTTCTAACAGATAAAACCTCTATTCTGAATCGATGGTCTGAACACTTTCAGACTCTTTTCAGTACCAACCATGTAGTCCAAGATTCAGCAATTCAGTCCATCACACAACAACCAGTGAAATACGAATTGGATACTGCCCCCACTTTAGGAGAAACCCTCAAGGCCATACAGCAGGTGAAAATTGGCAAGGCAGCTGGGGTTGATGGAATTCTACCCAAAGTCTGGAAACATGGGGGCCTTGCACTCCATGCTAAATTTCACGAGTTTGTGGTGCACTGTTGGGAGCTCGGCGAACTACCATCAGACCTTCGTGATGCTGTCATCATCACTATGTTTAAGAAGAAAGGTACTAAAGCAGACTGCTCAAATTATCTTGGTATTACTCTGCTCTCCATTGCTGGCAAAATCCTGGCAATACTTTTGAACAGACTAATACCCACTATAGCAGAAGGAATTCTACCTGAAAGCCAATGTGGTTTCAGAGCCAACAGGAGCACCACAGACATGGGATTTGTTCTCAGACAACTGCAAGAGAAGTGCAGGGAACAGAACAAAAGTCTCTATGTAAACTTTGTTGACCTCACCAAGGCTTTTGATACTGTGAGTAGGAAAGGTCTTTGGCAGATTTTGGAACGTTTAGCTTGCCCCCTCAAGTTCCTTAAAATGATCATCTCACTCTATGAGGATCAGCACAGCCAAGTCAGATATGGCAATGCACTTTCTGAGCCCTTTCTAATTAAGAATGGTGTGAAACAAGGCTGCGTTCTCACTCGAACCTGCTTCACAATCTTTTTCAGCAGGATGCTCCAAAGGGCCACGGCAGACCTCGAGGATCAGGACGGTACCTACATTCGATATCGTACTGATGGAAGCCTCTTCAACCTAAGGCGACTGAAGGCCCACACCAAGACCTTAAACCATCTTTTCTGGGAGCTGCTTTATGCTGATGATGTCGCCCTCATCGCTCACACAGAAGCAGCTCTGCAGCGTTTAACATCCTGCTTCACAGACGCTGCTGAGCTCTTTGGGCTGGAAGTCAGCTTAAAGAAGACAGTTCTACATCAACCAGCACCTCAGGAAGTCTTCCTTCATCCCCATATCACCATTGGCAAATCAGAGCTCAAATCAGCCCAGCAGTTTTATTACCTAGACAGCCTCATCTCCTCAGATGGTAAGATTGACGGAGAGATAGACAACAGGTTAGTAAAGACATATAGAGCTTTCAGAAAGCTTCATAAAAGAGTTTGGCGAAATAAACACTTGAAGAAAAGCACAAAGATCAGTGTTTACAGAGCCATAGTGCTGTCTACTCTCTTATACGGATCTGAATCATGGGTCATCTACCGCCACCACCTGCGACTCCTAGAACGCTTCCATCGACACTGTCTCTGCACAATCCTAAACATCCACTGGTCAGATTATGTGACCAATACATCTGTTCTTGAATAAGCAGCAGTCAAAAGTATTGAGGCCATGTTGCTGAGAACACAGCTGCGATGGGCAGGGCACGTCTCAAGGATGAAGGATCAACCACCCCCTCCCTAAGATCCTGCTTTATGGTGAACTTACCACCGGCTGCCGCAAGAGAGGAGCCCCAAAGAGAAGATACAAGGACTCCCTGAAACAACATCTCAGCCTCGGCCATATTGATCATTATAACTGGTCTACTCTGGCCTCCAATCAGGAGGCCTGGAGACACACCATCTATAACACTGCTGATGCTTTTGAGAGCGCAGCAGGATCACCCTTGAGGAGAAAAGACAATGCAAAAAGAATCATGCCTTGCAGAATTTACCATCTAAGGAGTCTTTCTGTTGTGCCTTTTGCAACTGGACGTGTCTATCTCATATTGGCCTTTTTAGCCACCAACGTGCTTGCAACAAACGTGGGTAGAGCCCTCCCCAAATCTTCGTTCGCGAAGCCCAGCCATGATGACATGAAAGATGGAGAGAGGCTGTTTACACATCATGTAGTGACAGGGCAAGGAGGAATGGATTCAAGTTGAAAGAGAGTAGGTTTAGGCTGGATATTGGAAAGAATTCTTCCCTGTGAGGGTGGCGAGGCCCTGGCACAGGTTGCCCAGAGAAGCTGTGGCTACCCCTGGATCCCTGGAAGTGTCCAAGGCCAGGTTGGACAGGGCTTGGAGCAACCTGGGCTAGTGGAAGGTGTCCCTGCCCATGGCAGGGGGTGGAACCAGATGAGCTTTAAGGTCCCTTCCAATCCAAACCAGCCTGGGATTGTGATTCTGTTATGTGTCCTATGTCCTTCCTAACACATGATGATATTTGAACAATACTGATGGAACTGGCAAGCATAGTGGTGGTAGAAACACCAGTCCAACAGCCATATCACTTGCACTGTATCCCTGTTTTCCTGCCCAGTAGCATCCATGACAAGGAGGAATGACAGCCTGCTTCATTTCACGTGATTAAATACACAGTTTGAGCAGTGGCACACTAAATAAATAAGTGAACATGGGAATAGAGCTGCATATGAAGAAGAGATGGAACATAGGAAAATTAAACGTGAGAATTGGAGGCCTTTGGATGCATTAGAAAGATTGCTTTCCCTCATTTCACTTCTTCTATGTCTTCACACCTCCACCCTCTCTCCCTTCAGCTGTAAGTACTCTTGATAAATGCCATCTTCTCCACGGTACAAGGTTGGAGGGAGAAAAAAACTTCTCCAAACAAGTTTAGAATGTACTTTTATTTTAAGTTACAAAGACTTGTTTCTGAAAAAAATAAAACAAAAACCAACTAACCAACCAACCCAAACTCAACAAAAACCCCAAGGTATTTTGTTCCCCAATAAAAAGAAACCAAGTGTTGCATCTCATCCTCAATCTGCTTGAAGGTACCTCACATTGAAAACAAGGAACATTGAGTTGGAAAACAAGGAAACAAATTCCTTAGCAGCAAGAAATGTCCAACCAAAAAATGGAAAGCAGTTGAATTCCAACATTTTTCATTTAGTAAAACAACTTGTTTTCTATGACATTTTGGTGTTGCATAATGGTTATTATTAGCATTTATTAAGTTATCAGAGAGGAATGGGCCCTTTAACATGAGCCCTTTTGCCATGAAAATGGCACCTGTGTCCCTCCATGGTTGCTGTTGCTTGTTTTGTTCTCAGAAGCTGGTAAAACATTTGAGCCTGATCTAATACACTGACTCTATCTGAGATTTTGATTCACGGATGTTGGACCTGTTGAGCTTTAGCGGTGAAGTAAAAAGCAGCTTCAGAGTAAGAAGCACGAAAGAGTCTGTTGAGCACATTTGCTTACAAAAATGCTGCTTTCTACTATAGGGCCATTGGAAGAATTAGGGATGATTGGGTTGGGTGAGTTGACTCAGCTGGACCCAGGTCTGTCTGGTTTTTAGCTCTAGCAGAAGTAAAATGTCTCTCAGATGCAGACACATTGCAGCATTTCATATGGATTAACTTAGATTTACAGAATCATTTGGTTGGAAAAGCCCTCCCAGCCCATCAAGTACACCCTGTGCCCCATCCCCATCTTGTCCCCCAGCCCAGAGCACTCAGTGCCATGGCCAGGCCTTCCCGGGACATCTCCCAGGGTGAGGAATCCACCACCTCCCTGGGCAGCCCCTTCTAGTGCCTGACCACCCTTTCCAGGCAGAAATTCCTCCTGAGGTCCAACCTGACCCTCCCCTGGCACAGCTGGAGGCCGTTCCCTCTCCTCCTGTCCCTTGTTCCCTGGCAGCAGAGCCCGACCCCCCCCGGCTCCCCCCTCCTGTCAGGAGGTTGCAGAGCCAGAAGGTCCCCCCTGAGCCTCCTTTTCTCAGGCTGAGCCCCCCCAGCTCCCTCAGCTGCTCCTGCTGCTCCAGCCCTTTCCCCAGCTCCGTTCCCTTCCCTGCACACGCTCCAACCCCTCCATGTCTCTCTTCCATGAGGGCCCAGAACTGGACACAGCCCTGGAGGGGCCTCTGCAGGGCCAGCACAGGGACAGTCCCTGCCCTGGCCCTGCTGCCACACTATTTTTTGATACAAATGTTCCAGAGTTCCAGGCATTATTTAGGAGACTTGGGATGGTGAATTTAAGTATTTGAGTTTGATTTGACCCTGTGACAGCTGGGGGGAACCTCAGCTCTGTCCACAGCAATGCCCAGTCACAGACAGCACCTGAAGTGCCATGATGGTGCATCCAGGGTAGCATTCCCAAGTGAAGAATCATTTCACAAAATGCATACTGGGAATGAAATAAAGAAACTGGGTTAGGTTTAAAACAATTTCCCACCCCAAATAATTCAGTTCAAGCCTGAAAAATCTAAGCTGACCCTATAGGCATATTTGGAAAAGTTTTATTATAGTCCTTCTTCCTAAAAGCTGTTTAGCCAAGCTTTATTCAATAATTGGGGACCCCTGGTGGTCTAGTGGTTAGGATGCGGCGCTCTCACCGCCGTGGCCTGGGTTCGATTCCTGGTCAGGGAAACTCCCCCGGGCAGATGGAGCTCGTCAGCCCTGTAAGGCCATCCATCTAAGAGAAGGTCACTCTAAACAAACCTACGTCCTGAGGACCTCACTGCCACTGTCCGAGCTCGCTCGGCCCCGGCAGATGAACCTTAGGATTAAAGGGTGGGCTCAGCTCAGCGCACACTGTGTCTCACCTAAAAAATCCACTGCGCAGGCTGGAAGGGTAAAGACCTTTCCCAAATCTTCATTCGCAAAGACTGGCCATACATACATTCAAAAATTAGTATGACACTAATTCTAAATACTTTCTACTCATTTTTATTAACATTGTTCTACACTATTAGTAGTAATAGCATTCTTTTAGTTAAGTGTATTGGGTTTTATTATAGCTTGGAAATTTTTGCCAAACACAGTAATCACACTATGAGCCCTAAATACAGGGAGTCCTTGGCCAAAAAGTGTTGAACGAGAGTTCACAGAATGAGCTCCTCAAAGGGTGTATTTTACTGTCTCTGTGGTGGGACAAACTTGAGGCCTTGATTTGAAGCCATATGAGGAGCAGCTGAGGGCACTTGGTGTGTTCAGCTGGAGCAGAGGAGACTGAGGGGAGGCCTCAGTGCAGTTCCAAGTGCCTGGGCAGGGGCAGAGGAGGGGCAGGGACTGAGCTCTGCTCTGGGGGGACCAGGGACAGCAGCCAGGGAATGGCTGGAGCTGTGTCAGGGCAGGCTCAGGTTGGGTCTCAGCAAAAGGTTCTTCCCCCAGAGGCTGGTTGGGCACTGCCCAGGCTCCCCAGGGCAGTGGGCACAACCCCAAGGCTGCCAGAGCTGCAGGAGGGTTTGGCTGATCCTCTGGGGCACAGGGGGTGACTCTTGGGGATGGTCCTGTGCAGGGCCAGGGGTTGGACTGGATGATCCTTCTGGGTCCCTTCCAACTCAGCATGTTCTGTGATTCTGTAATTCTGTGATTCCTTCTTCTGGGAAAGCTCTTGGTAGCATTTCTTGATGACTTGGTGGCCTCTGCACATCAAATAAGATGGTGGGCAGGTTAATGACTGCTGCCTCCTCATAGCCCTATCTTAAGGAGCTGAGGAAGCAGCCTAAGAACATATGAATGTGTTCTTTCTGCTCATTTCACATCAGACCAAAGTCCCTTTCTTCAAAGCTGAACTTTAAGAAGAGTTGAAGAGGAGTATCAAGACACATCACTTCCTCCCGTGCTCTTACAACTTCAGCTGCAGCATCTTGCTGGAATGCGCTGCGTATCCACCAGTTCTCCATGGGTTTCTTTTCCATAACGATGTCCAGTCTCCTTTTCAAATGCAAACTTTTTGCACTCTTCTCTTCTGAAAGGCTCTGAGAGAGAGGGGAAACACTCAGCTACCCAGAAATTCCTGTCATCTCTCAGGAGACATGTTCAGATCTTGGACAGTGAGGACACTGATGATGTAGGACATACTGTAGAGTTCTCAAGACTGGTGAATGAGTAATGGACATGAGAAGAGGCTTTAAAAATTCTTATTGTGAGATCTGTCTGGAAGCAGCCAAACTTTCAAAGAAAATAGAAAGTTGTGTAAATAACAAAGGTTTAGTTGGTGTCCGTTACAGGAACCGAGTTCTGTGAGGTTTAGTGTCTCCTACCATGAACCTGGTGCATTTAACCCACTGAGCAGGAGAGAAGGTAACACCAATCCAGCTAATCCAGGGCTGGCATCACCAGTATGACAAAGAAACCGCTGCATTTTGATGCTCGTGTGCCTCACAGATCTCATAAGATCAGTTCTAGCCTTGTGTGACTCTTGAAGACCAGGGCATGGAGTTGAGGGTTTCATGCTCAGGCTCAAGGGGAGCCACTGATGACAGGTACTGAGCTCAGAATTCCAGCCTCAGCTTTCCTGACCACCCTCTAAGGACATTTCCTTTGTTCAGGTTTGGTGCCAGTGACTCAAACACTGCTGTTTGATTACAGCTCTGACTCCTTTGCCTTACCATTGGCTAATACAGTTTTGCTGTTCACAGCTCTTCTGCCCTTACAGAGATTTTAAAGGCAGTGGGCTGGGATTGTTGTACCTCTCATTTCCCATCATCTCTTTCCCCAGCCATGGTCATGTGTTGTCTCTGCTGTGGTCCAAGTGCTGGGTGGAAACCTTGACTGGGCAACTGCTCAAAAGCCTTCCTGCCTCAAGGGGCTTTGGCAAAGCACATCCAAAATTGGAAGATGGATTATACCATGGGATTAATATTTGTACATATAACATGTTTGTGATTTTAGTCTCTTCTTAGTCATGATTTTAGCTTGTCTAATATAATTTTTACTGGGCAGATACCATAGCTGCCACTGAAGGATAGTTCTGGTTCTTTGGTTTGACTCCTGGGAGCAGCTGTAGGATTTCTTTATTCTAACTGCAGCTTTCTCAAAGCTTTACAGAATTAACAATTTCCATGATCAGTCTATGACAAATTCAACACCAAAACAAACAAACAAAACCCCAAACAATCTGGCTCTATCTTTCATTTTGAAGTTGTCTGGGCTAAATCCTCCTATTGTAAAAATTGGCATTGCTCCTCTTACAGGGAAAACCAGCCAGAACAAGGGTACACAAGAAACTGAGAGCTCCAGTAACCTGTTTGGTGTGTTCCCAGTGGAAGGCCAGCAGTTGCCTGGCTCAGGGTTTGCTCAGCCAAGTCTGTTCAAACTTACAGAGTGTTGTACCTCTTGGTGGAAACTAGAAAACAGGGATGAAAAAGAATTTTTTCACTAGATCTGAATTACGAGCCCTCAAAAATTTTTTTCTGGCATGTTTATCAGTTTACTTCCCTTTGGTTTCTTTGCTTCCTCAGCGTCTAAGAATGCTGAAGATGGAGAGACAGAGTGGATTTGGTACTTGGTTTATCACATCATTGTAAATTGGCTTTGAGTGCTGTGAGACACTTACATATAACCCTCACACAGAAGATTGGACTGGAGAGACTGGAAAATTTTCTAAATATTTTTGTACATCTACCACATCTTTGCCAATTTCTGTGCCCTGAGTGTGTCATGTCCTAGAAGCACTCCAGTTATTTCTGTCTACCTTTAATATTTTGTGCTTCATGAACCCTTATTAACTAGGATATTAATTTCCATATGTAACTTTGGAACAATGCCATGCTGTGAAGTAGCTTTTCACACATGCCATTATTCTGGATTTGTTCACTGAACCCTCTCTCCAATGCAGTTTCTTACAATGAATGTCAGGAAGAGCTTGGGAAATTAAAATCTGGGTGGGGAGAACAGGAGTTTTGGGAGATTTTACATGGTGTCAGGCTATTTCTTAAAATGCTATAGATCCACATTTATAATTTCTTGTTCCTGGGTAGCAAATGATTTCTGAAGAGCTTTTTGTTTCTACTGCTGGGATGACATTTTTCAAGAGAGTGTGTGCTAATGCACCCCCTGCTCACAGTTATTCATTAGGGGGGAGCTCTGTCATGTGTTATTTGTTATCTCTTGCATATGGCTGATTTCTTGAACAATACTGGATTTGTTTCTTCTACCTGACTAGATAAATGAGTTCCTTGAATACTAGAATAATAAAAAGGAATCAAAATATAACCACCTTGTTTATGTAGGGACAATAATCAAATTCATAAGGAGATGGAGAGAGACTGTTTACAAGCGCATGTTGTGCCAGGACAAGGGGGAATGGCTTCAAACTGCCAGAGGGTAGGGTTAGATGGGATATTGGGAAGAAACTCTTCCCTGTGAGAGTGGTGAGGCCCTGGCACAGGTTGCCCAGAGAAGCTGTGGCTGCCCCTGGATCCCTGGAAGTGTCCAAGGCCAGGCTGGACAGGGCTTGGAGCAACCTGGGTTAGTGGAAGGTGTCCCTGCCCACGGCGGGCGGTGGAATGAGATGATCTTTCAGGCCACTTCCAACCCAAATCTTTCTGTGGTTCTATGATTGTATTTCCTTAGATAGCTGCATTCATCAGTACCTGACACCTTTTCCCAGAAATGTCTAGGAAGGACACAGATCATGGTGTGAAAATCCCTGTTGGCTGCTGATTCCAGGCACCAATTAAAAGCAAAGTCCTGTTCTACATTGCAGCTTTACATCCAGAAGTGAACTGCCATCCAAACACCAGGGATAAGGTGGGGTGTGCTACACGATTTCAGGAGTGAAAGTTGTCCCACATCTCTGATGTTGGCATAAAGACACTTTGATTCCTCTGGTAAACATGGAGCATCTTTGCAATCGGTGGGGTCAAGTTGGAACAGCTACAACCAGCCTTATTGGGGAATATAAAACTTTCTACATTTAAACTCAGTTTGGTACTTTGGAAAGAGAACTAGGTGCCTCTTTGATTTTTAAGTGATCTGAAGAGGAATGTACTTGATACAGGTGGTAAGAATTATTCTTGGACTTCTCAGATATTCCAGGCACACATCTATTTTCATTCCTCACAAGTGTATCCCTGGTGAGAGGGGTGGGGACCCCAATTAAGAGGAAAGCCATTTTCCACAGTAGCAAAGGATCTGAAATGAACCTTCTGCAGATTAAGCAGAACAACCTCCAGAGCTTCTGCCAAACAAATTTTTCAGGTTTCTTCAGGATTCTAGTCAGGGCCTGTGATCTGAAACATTTGCCAAGAATTCAGCAAAAAGAGAAAAATTACCCCAACCCTGAAGGTTTGAACAGGGAGGTGGTTTGTGGCTTTCATGGGATTGCATCAGAAGTCTGATCTTCCCGGCAAAAGATATTCTCTGCAAACAATGAATCCCCTAAAACCACAAGTGCCGTGAAGTCAAGCAGCATGTGGCTTGGATAGGAGCAGGCCAATTTGTCAACTTGGTTTCATTCAAAGAGAAGGAAATAATGAGTGGGAAAACACTGAGATAAAAAAGAAAAACCTCAAGCTGCTTGCTACAGATTGATCCTCCCAAAGCAGAATATAACCTCCCTTTTACTGAATGGAACTCTCCGGTATTTGTACTTAAACAACATTACTAGGTGATCTGAATAATACATAGTTATAATGTATGGTTATTTTTTGCCTGGCACAGGGAGTGTTATTCTAGGTAACACAGTATTCTGTGGAAATTTCAATTTTGTTTTAGGATCCAGTCTAAATATTGTGATGAATTTCTAGCAGATAGTGTCAGTAGACAAATACTCTTTACGAGGTGAAACTACCGCTGTGGATCTGGGAGTGACTGCGTTCAGCTCCTGATGTTTGGATCCCACAGACAAGGCTGAGCATCCGTCCCCATCTCACCATGTCATTCTAATTGATCATAGTGTAAAAAATTATTCTTTGAAGCAAAGACTTGTTTCTTTACCTACTATTACCAATCATGCCCAACACCCTCCCTTTCTCAACAGCAGTATTAAAAGCATTTGGAAAAGTATTCATCAGTTTTACTTATTTAATTTTTGGCTGCTTTGTTCTTTAGGAGATTAAAGATGAGACTTTTAAAATATTCCAGTCTACAGAAAGGAGCATTGCCCCACCTAGACAGTACTGCCTGCAGTCCTTGTGGGTGAAATTTTGGCTTCTTGAAGTTATGAAGGTAATAAGAATATTTAGGTGTTACCATAAGGATTTTATGAAAGGTACCCTCCACAGGAAAAGCAGAATTTCTCAGTGGCTT